TGTCTGTATGTCTGTATGTCTGTATGTCTGTATGTCTGTATGTATGTATGCAGTAATCTGAGTTGTCCTATGCTGAGTTGCTTTTTTGACTTTTTTTTGCGCCGTTCCTGGCGCGAACTGAATTGCCACAATATAGCTCATACGTTCGACTTTCGTCTTTGCTGAGTTTTCTTCGTAAATCCTTACTGTTTTGCCGCTTTGGGTTCCACGTATGACGGGGGGCGCGTCATATCTCGCAACTTTAGTCGCCGCCTTTCCGGGGTTGTCATCACGTGATAATCATGTGATTATCACGTGATGAAAACAACTCAAAATGGCTAATGGACCGCAAAAATCATATGATTATCACGTGACTATCATGTGATCCGCGCAGGCTTGATTGTTCGGGGCCCAAAGCATGGCGCAACGGGTAAAAAGCTGCACGCGCTGCGTTCTACCGCAGCCAGTTTGTGGAGGTCCTGCCAAGGAATGCTCTCCCGGGCCCTGGGCATAGACCATGCCCATGAGTGCGCGTGTGGCGGTGCAGGGTTCCGAGCAAATTGCCGCAAGCCCCCCGGTCTAACTATTTCGGCACGCCTCGCGCCTGGCATAAACCATAACGCTTGCGGGCGGCCTTCCCCCCCCCCGCCCCCCCGGGCACTTTTTCGCATGCTGGCGTGCATGCGAAATTAGGGCGCGCGCGCTGCCTATTTTCGCTCTTGCTTGAAAGCAGGAGTGCTACTCCTATGCGGAAAACGTCGGCACGCTCACGCACGCACACTGCTTGTCGCGCCATAGGCCTAGCCCTAGCGCGCGTGCAGGCTCTCCGCGCTACCGGTTTTGTAGGGCGAGCGCTTCTATCGAAGGCGCCTGTAAGCGTGCCGGGTACTTCCATTTCCGACCGTGGGCTGTTGTCTTCTTGCTTCAAAGCTTGTCGCTGGCTTTTGCCGGGAAATATATTTCCGATCGACCGAGATAGGCTGCTTTGTCTTTCTGCGCTGAATTGCTTCGCTTTGTGACAATTCAGCTGCTGAGTTATTGCCTCCGTTTTTGGGCAAATACGACACAAGGTCCGCCAATTTCGCTTTTGAAGAAATTGGCTGCTGAAATGCTTTGCTCGCTGTTTTGGGGCTTTCGTAATACGATACGCTGCAAGCTTCGCTGGATACTTAATACGTATTGAGGTACAATTCATCTTATACGACAATTCATCTGGGTGCATGTATGTATGTATGTATGTATGTATGTATGTATGTATGTATGTATGTATGTATGTATGTATGTATGTATGTATGTATGTATGTATGTATTTGCACTTCCAAAAGAAGTATGGACTGCGACACCGAGGGAACGTATTTTTGAGAATTCAGCCAAAAAAACCGAGCAATATCATAATGAACTTACACGTAGTAGAAGACAGATGTGTGGATGTTCTTGAGGAATTGCGCCTCCAGCACACTAGGATAAGAACGACCGAAAAGGCATCATGCAACTCCTGTGCGTACTAAGTAAAAGTAAAAGCACTGGTGTTGTGAATAAAATTCCAGCTCATTATCGTTCTCCTTCTCGTTGCAGCAATACGATCGTACATGTCACACCGACCCAGTACCGAGACCGACGGGACGCCGTCCACAAGATTATGCATTACATTTTTTTTGTCAACTCTCGATTCAGACATGTCATCCAGGATGAACCCGGACTTACCGTCCTGGGTGAGACCACTTAGCCTCCTGGATTTCAACTTTCGATCCAGACTTACCGTGATGGATGGATTTTCTTGAACGATTCAAAACCGATTTCACCTTCACAGTTACTCTGAATGGATGAACCATTCAGAGCAGGAACGCCAAAGCTTGAGGCCGCGGATGCTGTGCGTCAGCAGGAGCTACTGCCGCATACGATTCCTTGCATGATTTGTATTTAATAGCACGACAAGTGACAATCTTGTTCCAGACCCAGACACTTTTGCAATCCATATGCTTCGATTGATTCGATTCCAATGCAGCAACCTGAATAAAACTGGCTTTCTTACACGATGTCCTCCAACATAACTGGTTCAACAAAGGCGCCAGACCAAGTCGAACCATAGTAAGAACCGTAAGTCTTGTATAAAAAATCAAAAATATTCAAGATCATGGAAAGATAAATCTTCACTTTCAGTATGGAGATAAAGTCCGAACTGGCTCTGGCAAGTAAAGTACTTAAGCTTAACAACTATGCGTCTGCGTATAGGTATATTAAGTACTTTCTTAATCAAAAATCTCTCCGGTTTGCATGTCGCAGATGCACAATGCGTTCAGAAACAGCACGTAGTCGATTCTCCCGTCCTTATCCAAAACGCAGTGGTCTGCCATCATTTGGATCTGTTGCTTCGTCAACGGCGGATCCCGGAGGTTGATCGCGATGTTTAGACACTTCAAGGCTTTCACAAACTCCATCTGCGTAATATCAAAAGGAAAAATCCCCCCTCCCCATATCAAAACGAAATTTCTGATGCTGGATTTGGGTACACAAATCAGATTTGCGTTGCAGAAAGGCATAGCGGCCAGATCCGCCGGCTAGCTGGGGGCGTATGGGTCTAGTTGCTCAGCATGGCAAACGGCCTCCCTTTAGGCCCAACGGCATGACAAATCGCCTCGATAATATGGCGGAAGCTTTTGCCCTTGTCTTCTTGCAAGACAGATGTGATTTGTGACCTCAAATCAGCAACACAAATTTCCGGAGACATACCTTTTCAATATGGGGAGGGGGGATTTTTCCTCTCAATACGTAATCCGGTGGTCGTGGTTGTCGTCGAAAAATTGGAACACCCGGAGTATGGAGGCGTCAGGTTTGAAATCAACAAAGTTGAAATGATTTCTCATGCATAAACTCCAAGGCATGAAGTGCTTCTCTTGCAGGGATGGCAAGTGAGGCCGACTGTCAGCCTGTTTGGAGTCTGCGACACAGCTGCTAAAGCAACATGACAAAGGACGCCCTCTGTCCCTAAACAGCATGACAAATTGGATTTAGACGGTGCCAAAATTTGTCATGCGCCGCTTGATACGTGGGCTTCTGACTGGTATCGGTTTTATTATGCATGGCAAACTATTTCAACTTTGACGATTTCGATCCTGACACATCCATACGGAGTAGCGCCTGTTTGTTCGTGTAGAGCACCCCGCAAATCTGCTCCATCAAGGCGATGCGGAACTCGTCGTGCTTGACATTGGCTGTGTTAGTAACACTGCTGTCAACATTCTCGTTTGTCACCTTTTCAAACCCGAAGTCGCCGTCTGGGTCTTGGAAGCAATGGAGAAACTCCAAATAGCTGATTTTTCCCGTTTTGTTAAAATCGACCGTCTTGAAAATTTCCCGGAGAAGGGAATCCGGAATCTTATTTGCGGCATTGGTTGTACCAATACCTGCTGTTGTTCCATCTGAAGTAGTTGTGCGCGGCATCGGGGCGAAGGTGTTCTTGTTGCCCGGCGAGGTGGACGAGTTAAATTTTTTATCCGACAAAAAGTACTGTTGCAGATACTCCGCGTGCGGGAGTAACAACTGTTCTGTGACCGCGAAAAACTCCTTCTCGGTCAGCATTCCGGATTGATCCTTGTCCGCGTTCTTGAAGAGTTCAAACGTCTTATTCCCGATATCTCGGCCAATCATCCGCAAACAGATCGCGACCGTCGTACTGCCGTACTTGTTGAAATCAAAGCGGTCAACAGATTGTGTGGACTGGGTCGACGTCCGCTCGGTCGTGCTGGTCTTTTTCTTCGCAAAAACATTATCGGGTGTCGACTCACTCTCCTCGCTGCTCTCGTTGCTACTGGCCCGGATTAATGCCGCGTTGACATTGTTGACATTGATAGTATTCCCCTCGTCCGATTGCTCCCTAAGTCTTTGGTTCTGTCGCACACGATTGCTGTACCCCGTGTAATATGCATTGCAAAAGTATCGTAGTCGTATAAATGCATTACAAATTTCCTCAGCATGAGAAATAAAATTTGTCATGCTGATTTACCTCAAAGAAAAATATTTGTAATGCAAGACTTGCATTTATACGCGTACGATACTTTTGCACAGGATATGTAACAAATGTCCAACCGGGAAAGGAATTCGGCGAGAGACAGTAGTTGCTTGCCTTTTCCTTTGGTACTACCCTTCTTGATATTGCCGGAGGTTTTATTAGGAGCCGTAGTTTTAGTTGTACCAGTGCCATCTTGTTCTTGCTGTTGCTCTACTTTACTCGGAGCTGCATTGTAAGACCCGTAGCCTGTCAACGTGCGGATCAAACTCGCCGCCTGGTCTTTCGTCAGCAGCGTCTCGCTATGAAATGCAAATATGTCTAGGTCTGGAAGGTCACAACTTGTAATGCTAAACCTAAATCTGCATCATGCAGAAAATCTGTGTTGCGTGATTACCAACAGCCGTCCTTTTTTACCAAGCTGAGGGGGAATTTCTCATGAAGGACGGACATGATAGAGGTCTCACAGACTTTGTCATGCTAGGTGCTCCTGCATTCTAAACGTTATGAGCCATAGAAAACCTGCATGACAAACCTGGCAATCTTCCAGACCCAGAGGACACTTTTGCAGTTGATATTCGCTCGATCTGGACCTCCTAGAAGTAGTGGAAGTCGAATTGTCTTCACTGTAGTCCGCGAAAAGGTCGTTAAAAGACATCAGAATCTTTTCAAAAACCTTCACATCCAATGGCTCTTCCATCAGCTCGGCAAATTTGGTGCGTCTATCGGCTTGGGTCTCGCTTTCGTTTTGCTGTTCAACGTCGGGGTTATTTTTTGCGCTGCTTCCATCTTCGGTCTTATTGTTCACTTCCGCTTTAATTTTATTTCCAGCACCAACAGCAGACGCATTGCTGGATTCTTTTTTGATGTTCATCCGTTCTACCAAGTCCATCCAGGGGACCTCCGTCCGCAACAGCTTCTCAAAAATGTTCGCCAGAATCCCCTCCATCCAATTGGACGAGGTTTGCTGAAAGACCGGTCTCTTTTGTGCCTCGTCGTGCGCGGGGTTCTGTGGCACAGTTTTGCGACCTAGTACTGCAGCTCCAGCTTTCTCTTCCAGAGCTTCTAGAGAAAGCGCCCCGATGTTGTAGTTGGTTTCATTATCGTTGTTCTCGGGAGGAGCGTGGTCTGTGGCATTTTGAATAATACTATCGACGTCCTTCAGCACGACCGCTGCAGCCGTGCCGGAAATTATAGCTGTCGCGTCGCTGCTAAGCCTGCGGCTGCGCTCCAAGTCCTCGGTAGATCTCTTCTTTAACGTGACATTCGTTGCCATAACACGTTTGTCCTGGATGGTGTCGAAAGCGTTTAACCTGGATCGCAGGTCGACGTTCCCGCCCGCCGCGCCAGTAGGGTCGAGAACGTTCATCTTGGGAGGAATTATTTCTATGTTGGTTGCCGTATCATCTTCCGAAACGCCCCGAGATAGAGCTGGAAGTTCGCCTTCAGCAGCGGGAAGCTGGCGCGCTGGTGTAGTTCCGCCTGTGGAGGTCGTGGATTGAGCTATGATTGCTCGACGATTCGTTAATAGCTGCGTGCTGTCACCAGCAGCAGGACCCACCGGATCAGACCCAGAAATAAGACTATCAACCTCCATGAGCTCTATGGTGCCGCGAGGGTCGAAGGACTTCGAAGATTTTGTGTTCAACATCTTCTTGTACTGCTCTGAAGATGTTGCTGCGCCAGCCTCTCCTTCTGCAAAGACCACACTTCTTTTATTCCCCCTGTTGTTCCGACCCTGGATCCGTCTGCCGTGCTCCGCTTCTAGTTCCTCTTTAATTACCACCCGGAATCTGTGCAACGTGAAATAGTAGTCGATCAGATGCGAATGCTCGTCCTCGATCCCCAGCACTTCCGAGACCAGCTTTCCCCAGGGCAGCTCCTTCATATCCGGCGCACCGGCGATCGAGACGATTCCGTCGGACCAACTCTGCTGCGTGATCATTCCGTCGGGTGTGTTAGATTTTCTGGGCCTACTTGAGTTCCGGATACTGTCACTCGAACGGTCAGACAAGTCACTGGTGGAAGTTCGTCGTGGTCCTCCATGCTGCTGCTGCTGTTGCTGCCCTTGATGCTCGATCGCGAGCCAGTATTTCCAGAGCGCTTGCTTGTTTTCCACCAGGATCCTGGAAAACCGGGTTTTCACCTCGTAGGTGAGCTTTTTCTTCCGGAGGCGACCTAGAGCGCCGCTACGCAGTTTGGCCATCGCCTTCTTTTCCATTTCCAGAGCGGAGGTGCGCGGGGAAGAGGATAGCAATTTTTCCGGAGCAGAAGCCGATGCCGCAGCAGGAGATTTTTTGGTATTTTTATTTTGGTCCCCCTCCTCCTCGTCAACTACCTGTAGTTCTTCAGATGTGTCCGCCCTTCCTGCTCCTCGGTCCTCCACCGCAATTCGTCCAATGGTCCCCTGCGGAACCAAGCTTTTCGTAATTCCTGCTCTTTTTGAATCACGAGCACTAGCTGCGGCTCCTGCTCCCATGGCATTTCCATATGTTTCTCCATAACTGGCGAAGAAATCCACCTCTTTCAATTGCTCAAAACTCGGAGAAAAATGCCGCTCGACTTCCAAATGCGGGCCCCCTTCCTCGTGCCTGGTCAGAACCAAGATGGCGCCCTGGTTCCCGTGGATCCCACAATAATTCGAAGCCGAAAAGACGGTGATCAGCCTCCTATCGTGGTGAAATTGCACACCATCGTTGTTGTCGGGCAGTTGGTGCGAACGGATCACGAGTTTGCAGTCGGATTGCTTCAAAAACTTTTTCGTCACATCCTTTCCAAACTGAATCAGCTGCGGCCCCCGACTCGACGGCGAGATTCCGATGGACCGGTCCCCCTCGTCCGGCGCCGGGTCCGCCCACATCGCATCTAAAAAGCAAGTTTCCGGATTGCTGTGACTCGGCGTATCCGGGATCGCGTAGCAGCACCGGGTTTGCCGGTCCAAGGTTAAGAGGGTCTGTAGGAAATTATCCGTCACCCGCGACAAACCCCCGTGGACGATGAAAATTTTCGACTCTTTCAACAACGTCGCCAGCGGCATCACCGCGTAGTTCCGTAGCATTTGGTGGTAGATCGACTGCCCGAGCTGCGTCCCGTATTTCGCGATCAACTCCCCGTAGAAGCCCCCGCTGTGCGGGTCCATGTTCATGTTCGCGTCCTCGTGGTTGCCCCGGTTGATGTGCACGTGGTTGGGGAAGATGAGCATCAACGAAAACACCAACAGAAAAATCTCGATTGAGTAAAACCCGCGGTCGGCGATGTCCCCGTTAAAAAGGTACTGATTTTCCGCCGAGGGAAGCCCATTTTTGTAGAAAATCCACAACACATCCTCCAATTGCCCGTGCGTGTCGCCGACGATGATCAGGCGCGAAGTCGGGGCGGAGGACTTGGAAGGTTCTTGCTTTATGTCTTTAGTATTTACTTCCGCTGCAAGTGCAACTGCTGCAGAAGTTGCAGCAGCTCCTGCTGTTGTTTCCACTTTATTCCCTGACTTTTTCTTTTCACTACCTCTAGTTGTACCGCTTCCTGAGAAGTATAAACTTTTGTCTGTGAGCTGGAAGACCGCGTTGTTGTGCTTCTTCGTCATCAGCCTTTCCGCGTCGGACAGCAGCCGCATGACAAAATACGGGTGCAAGGGTTGCTCCGGGAGTTTCTGGAAGTGGTTGATCAACTCCCGGACCGTCACAAATGACCAATGCTCACCCATGCCGGGCTGTTGCTGCGGATGGGTGATTTTCGGGCAGTCCGGAAAAGTTTCCTCCCACTGCTTGACAAAGTGGTCCTTTTTCAGCAACAGTGACTGGTTGTACCAGGACGTCGCATGGCGCAGGCTTTGCTTCTTGCTTCGCTGCTGTTGGAACGACCCACTCCGGGCAGCTGTCATGGCTCCTTTGCTGGGCCGGGGACTGCTGGTTGTCGTGCCCGAGGTGGCAGGCGAGGATTTACTACTTACAGCTTGTGGGGATACAGATACTAAAGGCTTCTGATAGGAGGAGGAGGTAGTAGTTGCGGAGGGACTACTGGTAATATTTCTACTTCCTGTAGCTGAAGATGTTTTACTACCTGTAATTTCGTCCCCCTTGTTCTTGTTGCGGTGCTGTTGGTCTTCGTCTGCTGTGTGCGGGTCGAGAGAACCCGGGACCGTGACGAGCTGCGGAGAAAAGGAAGCGAATCCCGCTGCGTTTTCGGCGGCAGACGGTCTCGGTCTGGGACCACGACCTGTCGGCAAGTCGGGGTCGCTACTTGTCGCGGTTGCCGCGCTCTGATCTCCACCGGCGCCCACAACAACTCCAGTAGTAGGTACTACAACTCCCCCCCTCGGCGAGCTTCTTCCGGAAGATGGAGCTGCACCTCCTCCAGGTGGTGGCACTACCGGCTCCTTACTCTGCAGAGACCCGAATGCCGGGTGCTTTCCCGCCCGCCGTTCGCGCTCGTGCTGCTCCTCCGAGAGCATCAAAGCGTGCAGCATTTTGGCGCTCAGCGCGGACTGGGTCGTCGCTTTCTGCTCCTCCACCGACTCGAAGATTTGCAGGCAGTGCTCAAGCTGCTTCTGCAAGGCAGCATTGGACTTGTCCCTATGATGATGGTGATGCTGTTGTACACCTACAACAGCTGCGCCAGCCGTTGTATCAGAAGACGTTCGCCCAGAAGAGCCCGCTTGATGTCCTCCTTCGGTCTTGTTGCTGGCTATGGAAAACCGCGAGCCGACCGAGGACAGGCCGGAGCTAACACTGCTTGGCACGGTCGTCGTGCCGCGACGTTCTGGGTCGGTGGAGGTAGCCGTAGCATTGCTCTTCAGCGACAGGAATGCGGTGCTGTTAGTCTTCTTCTGCAACATCTTGAGGTTTGTGATCGTGTCTACCTTCTTGTTGATCTTGCGAAAGTTGGCATTTTCACAGAACCAAAAATGTAACTGGTGCAGGGGGGGGTGTTATTCTTGCCAACAAATAAATCGCTTACAGTCGTACATCAGTTCTTTACAGGAATCGAGAGATGATGTGTGACCAGCACTACATAAGAGTGTAGGAAACTACAGAAACATCAAACTTGCAAATGCACAAGGGGGGCGGCATCGGGCAAGGGAGTGGGGTTATAAAAAACGCTATAATGTGAACAACAGGAACAGGGTACTACTACTATATCACCTGGTGGCATGAAAAAAAAAAAACGCTTCATGACATGCAAAAAGGTGAGTGCCGAAATTGAGAGGTAATAACAATGAGTACAACGAGCTAAACGAAAAAATGGAAAGGAAAGGAGAAGGACGAGACGAACACGAAACAGTTCAAACAGGTGAAAACAAATGCATAAGGTCGTTCAGATTTGATAGCGATGTGAAGATAGCGATGCCACGATAGCACGAGAAAGAAGCGGGGACGTAGGTGTCGCGAGGTGGTCCTCGGTCCAGGTAGTATGTAAAGCATACACGACGAGAAAGACCAAGACAGCACGAGCACGCAGATGAACAACCAAGGTGTTCTGTACAACAAGCGAACGAAATAACAGACGATGCATCGTAAACGTGAACAAAAACTACACATTTATAAATGAGCGGCGACACATGATCACGACGACGAAGGCCACATTATTACGAGGACGACGAGGACGCTACGACTTTCCTTGTAACGAACCGATCGGAGACGGAGCCATAGGCTGAGGTGGCTCGTCGCGGATATAGGAGACGAGACTGTGTTGAAGAGTGAACCGAAATTCATACTGAAAGAGCAGAAAGTGAATGAACGAAAATATGTTTCTCTGGTTGAAGGCCAGTAGAAGGGGGCACTTTAAGATGTGTTGGCTTTCATGCTTCTACCTTGTGTTGTCTGGTGGTCGTGGGTTCGTTTCGTTCTTCTTCTTTCACAAACTATATGATTGTGCCCTACTTGGTCGGCTCCTCTTCTTGCATGGGGTACTTAAACCAGTACCAGGAAGAGTATGGCCAGCAAAGAAAAGAAAAAGTAATGCTTCGAGTTCGATCCAACGCCAAGAGTCCAAAAAATGAAAACTAGCCTACTTAGCATAAATTTCATTTCCGTGGTCAGGAAATTTCCGAAAAATTGGTTTGCTTCTGCCCCTGCAGTTGCATTTTGGTTTTTTTTCGAAGTAAAGTGGTCCAAGACTACTAACTTGCTACAAAACTGCACGTCTATCAGTTCGAACCACCCTCTTTTGCAGGGAAAGGGAAAAACAAAAAATGGGTATATGAATGAAAATAACAACAAGTCTATGTTCTTTCGTCTTCGAAGGCTAAGCCGCAAAATATTAAACGCCGTCGTGCAGCAACTGGGCTGCTGCAAAGTTTAAGTTTATCACATTTGTTACACCCATCTCTATAGAGGCGAACCTTTGTTGCTTGTACATGTACTAACAAACCACGTCATAAAATCTAAAATTTCAATTAACATGCTAATTTGTTCTTCACTCTTCATGTTCATTCGTTGCTGTTCACTCGATGACTTTGAGGCCGCTAGAGGCACACCAATCTTTGCTACTTTGATGCATCATGCAATTCTACTTTCTAAGTATGGATGACGGGGCGTTGACCTTCGTCGTTGGTCTGAGTCGACATCAATGCACTTCATACGGAGGAGGTGGGCGTGGAGCCGTTTCATTTAAGTATTAAATCAATGCAGTGTCCACTCAAGAAAGAGTTCGCGAGACAACTTCACACCCATTCCAGCTTAATAAAGGAGCGATTGCGGCAGCAGGAGGCCTGACGCTAAGGCTTTTTCCGCCGCCTCAGCCGCGTCGTCTGCTGTCGCGTAAAGCTCCGGGTCGATGACCTTGTGGGGCATTGGGGAGACCTTCCCCGGTTCGTCGGTGACGTCCGCCGTGGCTACGAGTTTAAGCTTTTTGAACGTGATCCCTCCCGGCAGCTCGTTGCTGCTTTGCCGCAGCTCCAGCTCGTTTCCTAAAGAAAAACTTCGGGACCAGGTCCAAAGAGCAGCAGGCTCATATTCCTCGTACTCTTCTGCTTCATCTTATGCAATACAAATTTCCCGTACATGTACAAGATGCAACACAAATTTCACCAATTTGGAGCGTAAAACTTGTCATGCTAAACTAGGATCGAAGCCAAGTTTTGTCATGCGGAGACGGCATTTGTACGTGTACGGGAAATTTACTGTCGATACATCTGTGAAGACGGTGGCGCTGCTGCTAGAGTTGTTCCGCATAATCCGCACCAGAAGGAGCTTCTTGACCCGAAGCTCTTCGAGTCTGAGCGCCCTATTGCTTCTGTCATATGGTTTGATATTCAACATATCTAATTTTGCCTCCGTGCCCACGCCCGCTTTATATCGGTACTCGAACTCAAATATCTTCGAATGACGTATTTCTCGTTCATCTCGCCCATCCGGGCCAGAAGCTTTTGATTGTCGTCCGTTTGATGGTGTGCCAATAATATTTTCACCATTTTTTCCGTATCTAGCTGTTATGACCCAGAAATAGTCCCTCTGATAATCCGCTTTCAGGTCGACCAGTTCGAAATTATCGGAGAGATCCATCTCGAAAAACTCTTTGACGTCTTTGCCCTCGCGAGCCCAGGCCTCTGCCACCGGGTGATTTGCGGCATATTTCAGCGGCGGGTCCACCGTCAACATCCCACGCAGCAGCTGCAGCCGCTGCTCGTCCGTCAAGGGTTGAGCAGGACCACCTGCAAGAAGTGCTTCCTGAAGTTGCCACGGAAGACGTTGTAGGTTGGGTACGTTTCCGCTTCGCGCATACAACTTCCGGGGGCGGTCCAGGAGGTCTGGGATGGGCTTCAGGTCCTGCGGCAGCGTCTCCAATTCCAAGCCCGGCAGCCACCGCCTGACGGTCGGACGGATTACCCGGAGAAAGAGTTCGTCACACAACTTTTTCAGCTTGCTGCGCATTTTCTTCGTCGCGGCGGCAGATTTCAGGAGAAATCGCAACCCGTCGCGAATCACCGCTTCTTTCGTAAAAAAAAACCCACGACCTGGAGGGGAACCTGAAGCAGTAGGTATTGTCCGTCGTCCCACCAGAGCTGCTGTACTAGTACTACTCGACGCGGCGGTCGGAGGGATCATCTTTATGGCCGCCCCTCGGCAGGAGCTTTCATCTCCGTCATGAGAAAGGTCTGAAGAAGATCTCCTCGCCCGCTCGTGCTGTAGATCCTCATTTTCTACTACTCGTGCGGACAACGCGGAGTTCTTGCTGTAAAAAGAAGACGACTGCTCACGACCGTGGTAAAAATATTCCAGGTCTTTTTCCGTGCCGTGCAAAAGTTCATCAACAAACGTCGCATAACTTGCGTCCGTAAACTCTGTCTTTATTTGGTCCAAAAGCGTAGTTTGCTCTTTCATTTCGCCATTGAGCAGTCCCTCGTAGTAGGGCTGCAAAACTGTTGACCGGTCCTCAGATCCGCTTTCCGCCGGCCGTTCCGTCTGCGGGTCCACGCCGATCCAATTTTTACCACTTTGCACCCGCAAGTCGTTTATCAGCTTGGTGAACTCCTGCCACAAACGCGAAACATTTTTAACACTTTCGTTAGTACAACCGCGGAACTGGCGATGGTACTCTTCGTCCTTGAAAAGCATACTCTTCTTGGCAGCCCTGCTCAGGGCTTGCCGCACCTGAGCGTGCAACTGAGCCAGCTCTTCGTCTCGTTTATTCATCTCCAGTGCAGCTTCAGTACCATTTTTAGGTGCGTTTTGCTTTCTGTTTCTCTGTCTTCTTCTTGAGCGCCGGGTAGTGCTACTTCCGTGGTCGACGTCTAAGGCAGAACGCGCTTGATGTTCGCCACTTGCACTTTCGCTTCCCGCCAAGTGGGGGCCTGTAGAAGTACCGCGGACATCACAATCATTATCATACGTTGTTTGGGGCCGCGCGGGCGAAGCAGAACGATGGCTCTCGAGATGAGCAGACTCTCGTTCAACGTACGAAAGAAACCCTTGCAGCTTCCGCCTCACTTCCTCACGCCAGCGTCTTCGCTCCCCATTGCACTTGATCATGTCGGCCTTCAACGGTGATATTTTTTCCTCCGCTGTTGTACTCGACGAAGTGGGGATCCTCGAGATATTAAATGGCCTAGATGCTCCTGTTCTTGACACATCTACTACCCCAAGCTCCGCCGCTTTCTGCACAAGCGCCAGGGCGAACGAGAGGTCGGCCGCGTGGTCCTTCGTCTTCCACAGGTTCTCCACCCCGACCCGCAAGTTCGCGTACGCGCCGACCAGCTTCAGCACCAGGAACTGTGGCCGGGTGAAGACCCGCCAACCGGTTTGCACTTCCTCCACGTAGGAACTTGCCCTTGTTCTGCTGGACATACCACCACCAGGGATCGTCCTGGAGGGCAGAAGCAGTGGGACCGAGCCCTTTTGGTAGCCAGCGAGAATCACAATGTGCTGCTGTGCAGCTGAGGGGGCCCAGCTGGAAGGTTCTTCTTGATAAAAAAGACTTCCTGCTGAGCAGCTCGAGGGTTCTTGCATTCTCATGGACGACAAGGTGGGCATTGGTGACCGGAAGATCGTGGATGACGAGGGCCGCGGTGGAAAGTAAGGAGCCACTAGGGCGGGCGTGATCGGCGCAGCCGTACGAGCTCGTGGACCAGCCCCCCCTTGCCGTTGTACTCGTTCCAGTTCCGTGTCAAGGTGGGCCTGTAGCCAAAGCCCCAGGTCCTCAAGTTTAAGACGATCGTCGGTGAGAAATGTCATATGTGACGAGGAAGCAACATCGGGCTGCTGGTAACGTTCTTCATTCCTTTTGTTGTCGACGACCAGCGACACGCGACTTCTCCTACTTCCCCAGCGCTCCTTGTCGGATTGCAAAACGAGCTCCCGCAAGTCCCCAACCGTTTTCCCCTGCAGGAGCCAACTTCTCAACTCGAATTCGCAAAGGTGTGTGATTTTGTTTCCGCTCAGAGCATTCAGGATTGTGATGGAGGCTGGACCTCCCTGAACAAATTGAGACGAGGAAGTCGTGTATGTGTATGGTGCTGCAACTACGCAAAAATTCATAAATGACGTCGAAGATGGTCCCATCGTCCCGACCAGGCAGGAAAGAAGTGCCCACATCTTCAGGGCGGGCATTAGCAGGACCGAAAGTGGTTTTTTCCTCGTCCCCAAGGTCGTGTTGAGATCGAAGGACCTCGTCCGGGTAAAAATCTTGGCTTTTGTCGACATTATGGTGCTCCTGTCGGGCAGTACGACCAACACACGACAAGTCCGGTGAGCAATAGTTCAAGATGGACAACGATTTTTTGCTTCCGCTCAAAACGACCTTGAGATCGAACGAATGGTCTTGGTCTATTTAAATCGAATACTAGAATATATTAAAAACAGTCACAGAAGAAGAAGATAACGTCGCACAACTCACTAAGTTGTGTATACAGTAGGTGCAGGAACTGTTAGAACCTCGTAATGTTCTACTTAGGGCTAGATTGGATTAGGATTTCCAAAAAATCACGATCATAGATACAAGAAATGCGTCCCTTAATAAATCAAAACTACAACTCGAAAGTACTGTAACAAAAGGTCGTCGTGAAGGTATAACTGATGACAAAGACCACGAAGTGGGTCATCTGTGAAACAGAAAATTTGACGCGCAAAATATTGAGAGACAAAGCGAGCCGGAAGGCAACGACCACGCGCGTCGGTGTAGTTTTTGGATCTACCTCATGCATTTCAGATCATGGAATTTTTTGCATGTCATTTCCATCTTCACGAGGTCGTGCGAGAGAGGTGGATCTTCGATCATTATTTGTGATTCTGATCTCAATTTCATCTACACCTTGCTCATTCTTCCGAAGTCTACTGTCTTTTTGTTTTTTCTTTAATACCTGGTCGCGCCCTAGTCGGTGCGCTATTTGAAGACAAGAAGACTCCTCGTGGGCGCGACGACATGATGAACACAATAAGCTGAGGACGCAGCGGGCCCCAGCTCCGTGCTCCACGCTAAGCGAGGAAACAACGCTACCGCGTTGACGGGGAATTTTAGTTGTAGGTAAAAATACGACGTGAACTAGCACAAAGGGGAAGTTGCTTGATGAACCGTGCGTTCGACAGCAGGAAAAGTTCTCATGCGGGGGAAAGAAAATCCTCCGCAGATCTGGGGTACAGATGTGGAGAGGTTCTTTTGTGATTGGGATTTTCTATCTGTTAGGGAAATGAGAACCAGGTGGCGGTTCGTTGAATAGGGAAATGTAATATTACGCCTGAAGAACAAGCTCTTTTACCTTTATTTTTGGGAGTGCGAAATTAATATGAGTGTCAATGTGACGAGTGTGTCTTGCTAAAAAATGAGAAAAGTAAAAAAAACCGATGATACAATGTCTATTTGAATGAAACACATTTCTAACGTACTTGAATGTTGACGGTTATGTTATGAAAACAAAGAGAGAAACAGAAAAACTAACGTATGAAAAACGATGAAAATAAGAAATTTGAAATAAACGGGTCGCCTTTGTTCATCGCCCGACTTTTGAGTTGTAATATCCATTGAAATAAATGCAGTTGCGCAAAATAGAGCTAAATAGTCGTATTGGAAAAAAAAATAATGAAACGAGAGCTAGATCGTGAAATGATAATGAAGATATGCAGTGCAGCCCGGTCCCGCACTACACAACTTCCTACTACAACACCATCCTACTTCTGGATCAGTCGAACATCTCACCGGTGTACATGTCACACACCACGAGCGCGTTTAAGAACTATCAAATGTAAAAGTGTCTGGGTCTGGAAGAGTCATGCTGTTTCTGCATGACACAGAAGGTCTGGCATGGAAGCTCTAGCGTCACAGGTTTCGAGAAGCTTCCGCAATGCCGAATCCGCATGACAAATCCGCCATTTTGGTGACAGAAAGTGGGCAGCTTTTGCTGCCTATGCATCAGAGATTTTTGTATGTTCTGAAATGCGCATCACAAGTTCCACTCTTCCAGACCCAGACACTTTTACATTTGATAAGAACGCCAGGTAGTCAATTTCGTCGTCGCTGTTGAGCACGCAGTGGTCGGCGAGCATCTCGATCTGATCGTTCGTCAAGGGTGGCGACTTCAGACTGATGCTCACGTTCAAGCACTTGACCGCCTTGCAAAACGTCGCTTTCGAGACGCTGCGACTGTTGTTTTTGTCGAAGAAGAGGAAGGTTTTGTGCAGCGCCTGCTTGTTCGAATATAATACTCCGCAGATCTGCTCCATCAGCGCCACCCGGATCTCCTCCGCGGGGTGCTTGAGGTGTTTCAGCGTCCTCTGCTTCTCCTTGTTTTTGTCCCTTAACCCCACGACGTCGTCCGTGCGGTCGGACGGCTGGAAACAGTGGAGGAACTCGAGGTAGGAGATTTTGCCCTGCCGGGTCACGTCTACCACCTTGAAAATGTCCTCCAGCAAGGCCACGGGCAAATCGGATTTAGCCCCGCGCTTCACCGGCCCGCCGGTGCTGGACACGTTGTACTTGGATTTTCCGGACAGGAAGTAGTCTTTGAGAAAATCTTTGTAGGTCATCAGCAGCTGGTCCACGACTTCCAGAAATTCCGCGCGGGAGAGCAGCCCGTCTTTATCCACGTCCCCGTCCTTGAAAATTTGAAAAGTGTTCTTCGACGCGGAGATGCTGTCTTCGGACTCGGCGTAAATCTCGCGGCCGATCAGCCGCAAACAGGTGGCCACCATGGACGTGCCAAACTTCAGATTCATAATGGTTTGCTCCGCGTCCGGACCCTCCTTGATGCCGGATTCCACCTTTTGGCGGACGCGTTGCACGTTATACCCGGTGTAGCAAACCTCTAAGCGGGAAAGAAACTCGAGCAGGGAAACGGAGGAGGGCTTCAAGTTCGTCACCGAGTGCTGTGAGGGTTGTTGTAGGAGGATGAAAAATTTGTTCTAGAATAATAGTTTTTGCAAGGTAGTTTTTTTGTATCTTTATCTTTTCTGTTTCAACAACAGACGTAGAGCGACAGTGACTGAACTCCATCTCTAACTCCATCGCATCAAACATACATCACAGTCATACATTTTTTCGCAAAAGTAAGTCCATCAAGTCACCAAAATTATACCCTGCTTCCGCCGTACCCCGTGAGCGTTCTGACAAGCGACGCGGCCTGTTCCTTGGTAACCAAGGCGTTGGTCCGAGAGCCCCTGGACGCCCCCTTCTGGCTCAAACTTTGCAACACCTTCTGCAGCGTTCCCATGTCCACCTCGGGTAAATTGGAGTCTCCTGACGCCGCGGAACTGTATCAAATGTAAAAATGTCTGGGTCTGGAAGATCAAGATTGCAACTTGTCATGCTAAATCTGCAGCACGCAAAAATCTGTGTTGCATGATTACCAAAAGTCGTCCAGTTTTAACCAAGTCGGGAGGGAGTTTCTCATGCAGGATAGGCATTCGAAAGGTCTCGCAGAATCTGTCATGCTAGGTCCTGCATTCCAGACCTCATGGGTCATGGAAAAGCAGCATGACAGATCGCGCGTTCTTCCAGACCCAGACATTTTTACAGTTGATAAACTGCCCGGGGGCGCGAATTTCTGCACTAGATCCTGCCAGGGGACGTTTTCCAGGAGCAAAGATTCAAACAACCGCGCAAGAATGCTTTCCATCCAGTTGGTGTGTCGCATCACGTTGCCGGACCCGTCTACGGTTTTCTTCGGGAACAAGGTCGACTGCATGGCTAAAGATTTCCGCACGTCCTGCAGGGCGGATTCCGCCTGAATTTCATCCCGAATCACCACTCGGAACCGGTGGAGGGACAAAGGGTAGTCGATCAGCTTCGTGTGCGGGTCCTCGATATTCAAAATGTCTTTGATCTGGGACCACGGGATGCCCTGCAGCACCGAGCCGCAGGACCCCACCATACTGGAAATACCCTCTTTCCAGGCGTCGAAAGTAATCAATCCAGGCGGAGTGTTCTTCGTGGCCGGGGTGAGGTAGTCGCCCTGTTGTGAAGAATTGAAATGGAAACTTTTGCTAAATTTCTATTGCTAATGGGCAATATGAGCCAGATAAAGTAGATCTTATCGTAGAAGCTACACTACGTCTGCGTCTACCACCATACTTATGCTTATCCACCTTCCAAAGCTAAAACACAGCACTGCATCAACGCCTGTAGTGCTTTTTTCTTTGCTATGGATCTACTAATCTCTCAGGATTCACATCATAATCGTCTTCTAAACGAAAAAACAATTCAGTACGTCCTTCTCGTGCGCGAGCCAGAATTTCCATAAAGCCTGTTTGTTGTCCACTAGAATTCGCGCAAACCTCGTTTTCACTTCGAAGATCAACTTGTCCATCCTTTGGGTCAGATCTTGCCTGCTGTTTTTGATGGCCGCGTGTTCCATATTGGTTGCGTTCTTCGCGCGGTTGGCTACCTGGTCCATCGCGAGCAAGTCGTTGGTCGTGATTTCCGCGTTTTGCAGCATATCGAAGGTCGGCGAGAAATGCCGGACTATCTCAATAGTCGGGAGACTGCTCGCTTTGGTATCCCCCTTTCCTGGTGAGAAGATCAAAACCGCGCCGGTGTTGCCGTACCAGCCGCAGTAGTTACTAGCCGAGAAAACCGTTATCAGCCTCCCGTCGTGGTGGAAAAACACGCCGTCCTTGTTGGGCGGAGGCTGGTGGGACCGGACGACTAAGTGGAAGCCGTTTTGGCGAAGGAATTTCATGGTGACATCCGGGCCGAATTGGACGAGACTGGGGCCGCGATTCGAGGGCACAATACCTGTCGTGTGATCGAGGTGAAGTCAAGGACAAGGTCGTCTTCATGCAAGATAAATCTCATACAGATGTTGATGAAAGATAGCGCCCTACTAGATCACTGCTTGCGACAGTAGATCGAGTTCACCTGCCTCCAACAGGTTCATCGAGTTATTTCGTAGAAAATTTCTAATCCAAGCAGTAGCAGAGTCAGTGTCAGAGTCTTCTTCATCATAAAAAAAAAAAGTAACACATACCTTTCCCCTCCATTGGGTCTGACCACATGGCGTCGATAAACACCGTGTCCGCCGTGTTATCTGGTGATTCGGGGATGGAAGACACGTGGTGGTCGATGCCGCTGAGCACCTTCAGCATTCCGTCCGTTACCCTCGATAAGCCACCGTGCACGATGAAAACTCGCTTCTCCAACACGGACGCCAACGGTAAGTTTGAGTACACCTTTAGATAGGACTCATAAATTGTGGAGCCGATATTCCCCCCGTACTTCTGGATGTTTTCCTCATAAAACCCGCCACAATGCGGGTCTAAGTTGATCGTTTCGTCCTCGTGATATCCTCTGTAAAAACCTCCCCACACCATAGTGCAGATGGAAAGTCTGCAACACAAATCCCCCAGCTTGGGGAGTTCTGCATGACAAGCTTCCATATGCAGTGTAGGGCTGGCTAGCAAGTAAAGCCGCATGAGAAAGCCGTTCCCTAATCCTGTTTACAGCATTACAAATGCCAAAACACGATTAGAAATGCATCTCAAGGAGATGCGCATTACAAATCTTCCTGTAATCGCAAATCTGCATGACAACTCTGGGATGGGGACGTTTTTACTCAGGATACGTGATTCCCGCGGTTCATGTCCACCGAATTCGGGTACATAATCATGAAGCCGAACACCATCGCGAAAATCTCGGTGGCGTAAAATCCGCGGTCCGCGATGTCCCCGTTGAATAAATACGCATTGCTCGGACTTGGTAGCCCGTTCTTGTAGAAAATCCACAACACATCCTCCAACTGCCCGTGCGTGTCGCCGACGACGATGGTTCTCCCCGGGGTGGAGACCGCTTTTTTGTTCAATAAGGAAAACTGCGTTAAATCGCCCTTCAACAAATTATCTTTGTTCTCCTCCGCTGCTTTCTGCTCCATGGACTTCTTCGGAATGGTCGCCCGGTGAATGGCGTGGTGGTACTTTTTGCTCATCACGATCTCCACGTCGTGCAATAATCGCATGATGAGCAAAGGGTGCAAGGGTTGCGCCGCGTTCGTCTGGAAGTGTTTCACCATCGCCAGCATCGTGTCGATGGTCCACTTGTCGGATTTTTTCTGGGGGAAGTCTATTCTGGGGTAATCGGGCAGATTTGACTCCCACTCCTCGCACCAAGCGGCTGGGAGTAGCGATTTGGAGAAGTTCTCCCCGCTACCACCGGGCACGGTTCCGGATTTTGTGAGGGAAACCCTTGCGGTTTGGGAATCCAAATGGAGATCATTGTCCGCGGTGGAAGACGCCAGCGCCTGTAGCATCTTCGCGGACAGGGCTCCCTGTGCGGTGGCCTTCTGCTCCTCAATGGACTCTAAGGAGTTCAGCGACTGCTCCAACTTCGTGGCGTTTTCCTCGGTGTCGTGAATCTGCGCTTTCCTCTTGGAAGCCGACTGGAGCTTGCTGTTCCCCTGAAACAGTACCTGGCCGGCCCCGAGCTGCTCCATATCCAGCCCCTTGGGGGCGGAAAGCCCGCTGGATTTGCCGCGGGCGAGCGTTTGCCCGGAACCGCTGTTCGCGCGGGTAAGAAGCGGTTTGGCCGTGCTCATCTTTTGAGATATTTGTGGTCTCTTGTTCTACACTGGTTCGTAGGAATTATGGTTCTGGCTTAGTTTCTTATTGTGCGCGAATTTATGGAAATTCAAGTTCACTCCGACTGACCGCCCCCGGAGGAGCGACGAGCACAACTTTTGCACAACCTTCTACAGGCACGCTCCACGCCAACAGGTGCTAGCTGCCAGCTGACCACACCTCGGGCATGAAGATTCTGTTCTGGACTAATGAAGACCACAATTTTTGGGGGGGAGTTCTAATTCAGGTAAAAATGTTTTCTTGGATGAAGTAAATCTCAGTTGAGCAATCTAGTTTTGATGGGGCTCATCAAATTGAGGTCCTGTTTTAGTGTCGTTCGAGGTACAATGAAAAATGGCTTCTATCTTGTCGATAAACAGAAGCAGACGAAGAGCATCACATTGTTGAAGCAGGTAAGCAAATACACAAAAATGGAAAGTAGGACGAGCAAGCAGTGGACGAACATACTGACGTTCTATTTTTCATCTTGACGAAGACGGCGAGAAGCATTCAACCTTGCACGAATATCAAAGCCACGAGTACCTACAGACGAAGCGCTTTGCCGAGTTCTTAAGCATTTAAACCGACTACAGCAAGCCAAGTGCAGCAAGCAGGAAACATGACACAACAAATCCAAAATTTGTGGAAGAAAACGACCTTCACGACACTTAGTGCGCATCAGGCAATACCGATCTTCACAGAATGCCGGCATGACCAGCGGGTGGAGCTTAGACCGACGGGAGTTGGAGGTTTAGCTAGAGAAAGAAATACAATATTCAACCAGAGCAGCAAAAGCAATGCAGATTTAAAGAGACGGTACCGACAGTGATAATCTTCACAGGGAATTTTGTCCTTTTGATGATCTACCGACAGTAAGAATCATAGGCAATTTCCTCAGTTTCTTCTTTCTCGCAGGCATGATCAGTGCGGCGAGGAGAAAAAGTAAAAGCGGCATTCCTCTTGCAACAGCAGTAGGTCTGTTTTCGATTTTTCTGAAATAAGAAGCACCAGGAAAAATGACTGTAGGTCCGCCTCCGTGTAAAAGTCTTGATCAAGATCCGAACATTTTTCGTTGCGTTGGGTCGCCGCAAGGGCCAAAAATCATGTGAAGAACGTTCGGTGATGGAAAAGCTAGTACACATCAACAGCCTACGTCTAAAAATGTATGTGCATAATGATGCTTTTCAAACAGCAACCAGGTACTGAAACTCTGTAATTAGCCACCTCTATTACACGTACCTGTAAAAGTCGCCAATACATACGTTGCATCTATAAAAAAACGCGGCTAGTACCTACCTCCTACCGCAGGAAAAGTAACTGTTTGTTTCCGATACGTGGTGAACAATACAATGGTTGCATAAAGCTGATGATTGTGAACTAATGACCTACCCAGCAAGGTGGCTGCTTGGGCTTGTGTGATGTAATCTATGACTATGACAAAAAAAACTCAGAAACAATAGAAGCCCCGTGCTGCCAGGAGCACGCGAAACTTGCGTATATAAAAATTGTAAAAACTCAAGCTTAAGACTAGGTCTACCCTAGGTCGTACTAGGCGACGAGCGGTCTGACACTAATTTAGAAGTGCGCTGGGAGGAGAACCTCCACAGCAACAAATAAGTTCCGTTTCCCACCTGTCACGACCCTAGTCAAACATCTCCCCGGTCCGCATGTCACAGATCACCAGCGCGTTCAGAAACTGGAGGTAGTCTATCTGTTCCTCGGTGTTCAGGACACAATGGTCCGCGAGCATCTCGATCTGGTCGTTGGTCAACGGTGGCGCTTTCAGACTGATGGTCACGTTGAGACACTTCACCGCCTTCACGAAGTTCTTTTTCTCGATCAGGTGGGAGTTATTTTTGTCGAAGAAGAGAAAGATTTTGTGCAGCGCCTGTTTGTTCGTGTACAGAAATCCGCAGATCTGCTCCATCAACGCCACCCGGATCTCCTCCGCCGGGTGCCGCAAGTGCGGAATCGAAGAATCCGCGTCCAGCTTCGACAGCCCGACGGTGTCGTCGGACCGGTCGGAGGGCTGGAAGCAGTGGAGGAATTCGAGATAGCTAACTTTCCCCTGTCGCGTTACGTCGACCACTTTGAAGATATCTTCGAGGAGGGACAAGGGTAAATCCGACTTTGCCGCCTTCTTCGCCCCGGAGGTTGCGTATTTGGATTTGCTGGATAGAAAATGTTCCTGCAAAAAATCTTTAAACCGGGCCAGTAATTGGTCCACCACGTCGAGAAATTCTGCCTTACTCAACAACCCGTCCTGGTCCTTGTCCGCTTCTTGGAAAATTTTGTGCGTTCTCTTGCTCGCGGACCGGGAATCTTCGGACTCCGCGTAGATCTCCTGGCCAATTAAACGCAGGGAAGTTGCCACGACGGAGGTGCCGAACTTTAAATTCATGATGGACTGTTCTGCGTCCGGGCCCTCTTTGATCCCGGCCTCGACCTTCTGCCTGACGCGTTGCACGTTATACCCGGTGTAGCAGACCTCTAGGCGGGAGAGGAACTCGAGCAGGGAAATGGAGGAGGGCTTCAGGTTGGTCACGGAATGCTGTGATAGGAGTTTTTTTTGTGTAGGTTTTTTTTCGCAATGTAAATTTGAATTTCTGATGCGAGGAACATATAGACCACTAGGTAGAACAAGTACAACACCAGAAGTAGAACAAGCGCAAAGAATTCGTTTTTGGACTGTGTGCTGGCAAAGAAGGCAAAGAAAAGTCACGACGTTTTCCATTCCGTAGTCGTGATATTCAAGGTCATTGTGATGTTATCAAAGGAGTGACTTTAATATTACCCTGCTTCCCCCGTACCCCGTCAGTGTTCTTATGAGCGACCCGGCTTGTTCCTTGGTTATCAGGGCGTTTGTCTTACTCCCCGAGCTTCCTGGTTTCTGCAGGCTACAAAGCACTTTCTGCAACGTGTCCATGTCAATTTCCGGAATGTCGTCGTCGTCGCTCTCCGCCGACGCGGGCGCGGACCCGGGGGCCGCGAACCGCTTGACTAAGTCCTGCCAAGGGACGTTTTCTAGCAACAGTGTCTCGTATCAGGTGCAAAAGTGTCTGGGTCTGGAAGAGTGCAAACTTGTGATGCAGGTTTTCCATGATGCGGAACCTAGCATGACAGACTCTGTGAGGTCTCTGAAATGCCTATCCTGCATGAGAAACTCCCTTGCAAGAACTCGGTCGAAAAGAGTCAGCTTTTGGGACTCATGCAACACAGATTTTTGCATGATTCGGATTTAGCATCACAAGTTGCATCCTTCCAGAGGCAGACCACATATTTGCAATGCATATCTCGAACAATCTTGCCAGAATGGACTCCATCCAGTTCGTGTGGCGCATCACGTTCCCGGATGCATCCACCGTTTTCTTGGGGAAAAGGGATGATTGCGTCGTGACCGATTTCCGCACGTCCTGAATTTGCGTCTCGGATTTGATCTCGTCCCGAATAACAACCCGGAACCGATGGAGCGACAGTGGGTAGTCGATGAGTTTCGTGTGGGGGTCCTCGATAGAAAGGATCTCCTTGATTTGCTGCCACGGGATGCCGCCCAAAACGGATCCGTTCGTCCCAACCATAGACGAAATCCCCTCCTTCCAGGCGTCAAAGGTAATCAGCCCCGGCGGCGCGCTCTTACTTCGGTTATCATTGTAGTCGCCCTGTGGTTTTGGTTTTTGATTTTTCGAACGTAGATGAATTGTATGGTTCGTAGTTTTCTTCTATGACATCGAGTCAAGAAATTTGTGCGAGGATGCGTCGCGTATTTACTACGATGTCCACAGAAGTAGTGGAGCTATATAGTTTGTTCTTGATGATTTTCTTGCAGCAAGCATGCTAAGTGCATAAAAAACAACTCAAATGTGATAAAAAGCTGCATACCTCTTTCTCGTGCGTGAGCCAGAATTTCCACAAGCCCTGCTTGTTATCCACTAGAATCCTTGCGAACCTTGTTTTTACTTCGAAGATGAGCTTGTCCATTCTCTGCGACAGCGACTGCCGACTATTTTTGATCGCGGCGTGCTCCATGCTGGTTGCGTTTTTTGCTCTCGCTTGCATCTGGTCCATCGCCAACAAATCATTCGTTGTGATTTCCGCATTTGCGAGCATATCGAACGTGGGGGAAAAATGACGGACAATCTCGATCGTCGGTAACGACGCCGCTTTCGTATCTCCCTTCCCTGGGGAGAAGATCAGAACCGCACCTGTGTTTCCGTACCAGCCGCAGTAGTTACTAGCAGAGAAAACCGTTATCAGCCTCCCGTCGTGGTGGAAAAAGACGCCGTCCTTGTTGGACGGTGGCTGGTGGGACCGGACGACTAAGTGGAAGCCGTTTTGCCGCAGAAACTTCATGGTGACGTCCGGGCCGAATTGAACGAGACTAGGGCCCCGATTCGATGGTACGATACCTGCGTGGTTATGGGTACTTCAAATGAAAATCTAAATCATACGAAGTTCCTAAACTTCGCGCATCGACGAGGTAGTACTTTAGACAGGTAATTACAGATGCAGATCGTTTTCACACGCACATGCGAACAAGTCGAATTTTTACTAGCTGAAAACAGATTCAATCACAGTAGAATCACTGTCTCTATACCTTTCCCTTCCATTGGATCTGACCACATGGCGTCGATAAACACCGTATCCGCCGTGTTATCCGGGGATTCGGGGGTGCTGGAGACGTGATGGTCAATGCCACTCAGCACTTTCAGCATGCCCTCCGTTACCCGCGATAAACCTCCATGTACGATAAAAACCCGTTTCTCCAAAACGCTCGCCAGCGGTAGGTTTGAGTAGATCTTTAAGTACGATTCGTAGATCGTGGATCCAATGTTCCCGCCGTATTTCTGGATGTTTTCCTCATAAAACCCGCCGCAGTGGGGGTCTAAATTGATCGTTTCATCCTCGTGGTTTCCCCGGTTCATGTCCACACAATTCGGATACAGCAGCATGAACCCCAGTACCATGGAGAAAATCTCGGTCGCGTAGAATCCACGGTCGGCGATATCGCCGTTGAATAGGTATGCGTTGCTGGGACTTGGCAGCCCGTTTTTGTAGAAGATCCAAAGCACGTCTTCTAATTGCCCATGGGTGTCGCCGACGACGATGGTTCGCCCAGGGGTGGCCACGGCTTTCTTGTTCAGGAGCGAGAATTGGCTCAAATCTGTTTTTGTCGTCGAGTTTTATGGTGCAATCAAGAAGAAATGTGTCACACACATGCAGTTGTCAAGAATTTTGTGTTGTTTTATCAAATTCAGCCTAGATGAAAAATCAAAATGCTTCCCACAGCATTAAATCGAAAATTATAATCACATCAGGAACTTAATATCCCAAATACCTCCTTTGAGCAACCCCTCCTTGTTGTCGTCCGTCGCTTTCTGTTCCATGGATTTCTTCGGAATCGTGGCCCGGTGTATTGCGTGGTGGTACTTTTTGCTCATCACAATCTCCGCGTCGTTCAGCAATCGCATGATCAGCAATGGATGCAAGGGTTGCGCCGGATTGGTTTTGAAGTGCTGCACCATCGCGAGGAGCGTGTCCAGAGACCACTTATCCGTCTTTTTCTGCGGGAAGTCTATTCTCGGGTAATCCGGCAAATTCAGCTCCCATTCCTCGCACCAAGCGGGAGGTAACAGGCTTTTCGTGAAGTTCTCCCCCGCATCCACGAGCATGCCTGCTTTCGACAGAGAGACTCGCTGCGTCTTCTCGTCCACCTGCAAATCCGATTCTGGGGTGGAGGAGGCGAGTGCTTGCAGCATTTTCTGGGACAGAGCGCCCTGTGCGGTGGCTTTTTGCTCTTCAATCGACTCAAGGCTGTTCAGACTCGCCTCTAACTTCGTCGCGTTTTCCTCCGTGTCCGCTATTTGCATCTTCCGCTTGCTTATCAAGTGTAAAAATGTCTGGGTCTGGAAGATTCTGAGACTTGTCATGCATGTTTTGCCTGGGCCATGATGTCTGTGATGCATGCCCTAACATCACAGATTTTTTGAGGGCCTCGCGATGCCTATTCCGCATGACAAATGCCCTCTCCGCGCAGCAAAAATTGCACTCCCTTTGCTGCTCACGCAATACAGATTTTTTTGGAATCCAAATTCAGCATCACAAGTTGCATTCTTCCAGACATCCAGACATTTTTACATTTGATATTGCTCGCGGAGGCGAGTTTCGTGTTCCCCGCAAAGATATCCTGTGCAAAAGTATCGTACTCGTAGTAATTGCATTTATGCATTACAAATCTCCTTCTCAAAGTAAATCAGCATCACAAATTCAATTTGTAATGCTGGGGGAATTTGTAATGCAATTTATACTAGTACGATACTTTTGCATTGCATAAAAGAGCACGTGGCCCGACCCAAGCTCGCCGGCGGCCTTCTTGTCACCCATCCCCAGGGGCTGGGGCTGGGTAGAGGTGCGGCTCGCGCTCATCTAGAAGTCTCTTTTTATGGAGGTCCTTCGGCTCGTCTCTTTCCGGGGGGCGGCACGCTTGGAAAGTAGAAGATGGAAAGCGCCTCCGCCATCCGCTAGAAGTAGCTGCCAATGGGATACTAGGGACGTATAAAAATGGTGAATAAAAGAGAAAGACTGGGAGAACAAAAAGCGCAATAAAAACGGGAAAATTGAAATTGAAGTATGGGAAAATGAAGGGGGGTGGGAAGGAAACAATGAGTGGATTGCTTCTCCCTGAAAAATGCGATTATTTATTTTGATGTCAACTCCAGCACCTCAGTCCGTTCGGTCCTTGAGGACCGATGTTGAACTAAAAGCTCAGTAGCACATCATCAACAAGGAGCCGTACATCGAAGAGCTGCGTTGTTCTTCTTCTTCTTCTTTATCATTATTTCCTAGCACGAATATTCCACCGGAGCCGGAGGTGAGAGGACGAGCTGGCTCACGTCACGTCTTGATGTACGAAGCAGGATAGATGGACGAACCGAAAGCAACTGCAACAGGTGCCGACGAGCAACCGAGCTGGATCAACATGCGTGCGTGGCTAAAAATTACGCCGCGACCCTATGCATATCTACAAACCGAAACAGAAAAAAGAAGCACACCAGAATGCGCATCGTCTTTCACTGCAAACAACCGACTGCTCTAGTATTGCATCACGTACAACAGAAATGTACATGGCTGCTTCGACCGACGTAACTCATTTTCGATACACAACGACCGATGGATATGGATAGCCTTCTTTAAAATCACAACATGAATAGCCGCCGCAAGGAACTGCGAGCTTTTTCAAGCGTTCGGCTCGGCACAGCGGAAGCTGCGGCCCTTTTGGTTTCTTAGGAAAAAAGGCAAAGGACGATCGAATGTCATATGCGTTGTAGTTCAGGTCATGTTTGAGACAGCTCCTGGTGGGGAATACGATAAGACTGTTTTTTCAAGAGACCCTGACGCTCTGAGACCTAAACCAACGAATCACGACGGCAGCGCGGTTTTCTTGTGTTTAGAATGAGGGGAAAAAAATACGCATAGCGTCGTGATTTCGCTTTGTGGATTTTTTTGGGGGATCCGCCCGCTCCCCGGGGATCCGCCTTCGCCCAGGGGATCCGCCCGTTGCCCGGGGATCCGCCCGCTCCCCGAGGATCCGCCCGCTTCCCGGGGATCCGCCTTCCCGCAGGGGATCCGCCCGCTCCCCGAGGATCCGCCCGCTTCCCGGGGATCCGCCTTCCCGCAGGGGGTCCGCCCGCTCCCCGAGGATCCGCCCGTTCCCCGGGGATCCGCCTTCGCCCAGGGGATCCGCCCGTTGCCCGGGGATCCGCCCGTTCCCCGGGGATCCGCCTTCGCCCAGGGGACCCGGCCCGGGGATCCGCCCGTTCCCCGGGGATCCGCCTTCGCCCAGGGGGTCCGGCCGCTTCCCGGGGATCCGCCTTCGCCCAGGGGATCCG